TACGAGGAAGTACTAATGAAGGTTTGATATGTATTTGCAAATACATATCAAACCTTAAAATATTAAAAAGTATTGTAAGCACATGGGAATGAGAGAAAGGAGGAGAGAGATTGGCAAGTGGGACCAATTTTTAAATGTACCACTAAAAGCTTATATAATATCATTGAATATGTAGTGATATTATTTCTATACGTAGTTGGTACCACTAAATGAATATACAGTACCATTGAATGAATATATAGTACCACTGAATGTTCAGTGATACTATTTGATCATCTAGCGATACTATTAATCACCCAGTGGTACATTTAAATCCAGCACGTGGGGGTGAGAGAAAAGGAGGAGAGAGATGGGTAAATTTCATGCGAAATGTCTCAAATGCCCCTTAATATGTATATACAAGTACCTATCAAACCTCCCTTTGGAAGGCCTCTTCCAATTACAACGATCGTCCTCATTCTCTTTATTGTCAATAATTTTTTTATTTGGCTAATTCTCTTCCCCAATTTTCCCAAGGCGGTAATTGAAATGTGGGAATTAAGTGAAGTTCAACTTAATTTCATATTCTGTTAAAACAAACAAAAGAACATGCCATGCCCATATATAAATTCCTATTCCCGTTCTATAATCCCACGTACCAAATATCCAGTAAATACTTTAAATTCTATGTTTTCTTTATATTGTCAGCTCATTGCGAATTAAGCATTTGCGCAGTAACATTTTTTTTTTTTGTAAGGAGGTAAGATTGACCTCAGAGTAATCTCACTCATGGGCATTTTTTTTGCCCATGAGGAGATTTTAATGAAAATAATGAAATTTTGGCTTCTCACTCATGAGCATTAGAAAAAAAGCCTATGGAGAAATCCTCAAATGCCCATAGCAATGGCAAAAATTAGATAAAAAAAATAAATAATGTGATGATAGTAATACTTTAGGTTATGTTTGGATAACAAAAAATGGAAGGAAAGGAAAGGAAGGGAAGGGAAGGGAAAGGGAGGGAAAGGGAGGGAGACAAACTTCCTTGTTTGGATAATATGTTGGGGGAGAGAAGGGGAGGGTGAGGGGGAGGGGGAGGGAGGGATTCATTTTCCCTCCTCCTTTAATAAAGACCATCCCTTCAAAATTAGAGAGATTTGGAGGGAAAATGGAGCTCATTATTTCCTCCACTTTCCCTTCCTTCCTCTTCCTCCTATTTCCCTCCCTTCCATTTCCCTTCTAATTAGTTATCCAAACATAGCATTAGGAGAGAGAAAAAAATAGGAGAGAGAGTGGTGTGGGTTTTTTCTTTAGCCCATGAATGTGTGAGAAGTAGGGATGGCAACGGGTCGGACTCGGAGCAGATTATGCTAAATCCGACTCCGACCCGACAGGAAGTCGGATGTTAAATCCGACATCCGACTCCAACTTCAATATCCGACCTCCGACTTTGACTCCGATCCGACCCGACTCCGATTTTTTTTTCATTATTCAATATACTTTGAGATGTTGGGCTATTTGGGCCTTTACAACCCACACCCAATGCCACCATGACCCACACAAAAATCCACTATCTATTGGAGTCGGATTCGGATAATCCGTCAGAGTCGGATATTTGTCGGAGTCGGATTTTTTTCTCGGATTTTTTGTAGGATCCGACTCCGACCCTCCTCCGACTCGGAGTCGGATTATTTTAACGGAGTCGAATTCGGATTACTTTTTTCTCGGACTCAGAGCGGATATTTTACCTCGGATCGGGGCGGAGTAGGGTCGGATCCGGACTAGATTGCCATCCCTAGTGAGAAGTTGTAGAAAAAAAAATGCCCATAAAAAAAGTGGAAAAGAGGAGTGAGAAAGTGGGTAGAGAGATAATGACATTTTTTTATTTGCCCATGAATGAGAGTGGTCTCAGTACTTCAATAGAGTTCACTCGACACATCATCTTGCAACTACAGCTTCTTCAAGTCTTAATTCTTTTTTACTTTATAATTTATTTTAAGTATTTAAACATATGTCAAGAAAACAAATAATTATTATTATTTGAATAAGAAACTACATGACTAAATTAGATGTCCTTGCTATAATTTTTGGACATATAATGCGAAGAATTAATTTAAGTTACAATAAGGATATCTAGATATGTCTTGAATAAGTTCATTTGAGACAATTGTTCTCCTAATTGGCGAAGCATTCTTTAAAATCTATTATAATAAGATCTATTCCTCTATTATATACATCATGAAATATGTGATACAATAATAAAGAAAACGTCATAAAAAGGCACGTATCCTTGCTGGTTTAGGTACTTAACTTCTTAACCTAAAAAAAAAAATAAAAAAATAAAAAAATTCAAAACAGTCGCATAGCTCGCACTCCCCTTGTGCAATGAAATGAATTAGTTCTTCATATATCTGCATGAAATAACAATAACACATAGTTAATTTAATTTTCAAATGATATGATAAAATGTGTGCATATCTCTATTATTAGCTTGCTAATTTCTATGTTTAAAAAAAAAAATCTTGCTAGTTTCTATCGTACATATTTATTGTTTTGGCAGTGCATTGTGAAAGGATAATAATGTAGATGGAAGTTTATTTGATCATAAAATTTTGCTTTTTGAAGGATATCATCATACGGAGTATAATATAAGACTTTACCAAACTAATAACCATAATCCACAATAACCATACTCTACTCTAGATTTTAATTTAAGGTATGAATTTGATGTTATTCTAATTGTGTAATTAAGATAGATCGATATAAATGTATTTTTAAAAGGAAAATGATGTAGGCGAGTTTGTTAATTATTAGTTTACCGAATATATTAATATGTAAGTGAACCATATCATACTCACCATCATCTTTCTTCTTTAAGCATCGAAATAACGTAAACACAAAGAACAAAAGGCCCACTCCTCCGATTGCGATTGCTGCTATTTTCCCAATACCATTCCGGCCATTATTTTGCCCTGCCACAAATTTTTTTTTAAAAAAATGCAATATGATGAACAATATTACTTCTGCTATATAATGTTTGACTCACTTAGATTTTGCACAGTCGTATTGTTTTATTAAAACGATCTTGCTAACGAGAGCCCCGGGGCGTTAGATAAGGATAAATTTTATTGGTTGAAATGGTATTAAGTTAGGAATTCATGACAAAATCACGCGTCGTTCGGTGTAATTAATGTTAATTTTACTCTAATATTTGCACTTTAATTCTTTTATCTAACGCTTCGGGGGCGCCCATTTGCTTTTGCCTTATTAAAATAACAAAAAAATCTAGCAAAGTTGCATGAATTTTACCTCCATCCCCATGAAATTCATGTGGATTAAACTCATAGCTCAAGTAACACAATCCCAAGAAAATTTGTCCATAAATTGAATTCACACACTCTTTCTCAACAACATCAACACCTTCAACAATACATTTTGCACAATCACATCCATTCAACCCCGCCTCACATTGAGCCATGGCATGGAATCCCTCATGGTTATTCATGGAGTAAAACCCATTCTTACCCTCATCTTCGGCCGCCTCGGTTTCTAACACCTCAAATGCCTTGCTCCTCATTTGCTCAAAATACCCACTTGACACCACAGCTTGGTTTTCACCACACTTCTTGTGATTCAATTCATCATCTAGGCTTAAAATGCCGGTATACCCGTCCGCCTCGTATTGTACATGGCACCCTGAGAGTTGGATCCTTGCTGCCATGGAACTACCTTTGGATGAAATTTTCATAGTAATGTTAGTATAACATTAGCCTCATACACATGAAAATAATTTAAATTGCTAAAAATCTATATCTTTGAAATGATTTAGATTATACTACCTCTGTTTCTTATTATGTGCAGCAAAGGGGTATGATTTGTGAGATATAAAATATTCTTTTGTTGCACACAATAAGTTTTGTTGCACACAATAAGAAGCGGAGGTAATATCATACATAAATTTGTATGTAAATTAAAACATTGTTACTTTATTTATATATATATATATATATATATATATATATATATATATATATATATATATATATATATATATATATATATATATATATATATATATATATATATAAAGGCAATCTAATTTTAATCATTCCAATTTCCAAAGGGTATGTATGTATGGTAGGATAAAACTATATGTCTATATAATAATTGCATATTAATTTGTAGATATTTCTGCATGGTACTCTATGATAACTTATATGTTTAGTAATTAAATTTATAAAATTTAAATAGATTATCAAAGTAATTAAATTGATAACCAAAAATGATGTTAAAACTATTATGACAAATATAGATGAACGAAATCTTACTCTAGTATTACCACATAAGCTGTTTGTAACATTTTGGAAGGTTTTCATGCACTCGTTGCATTCTTGATCATCTAAATCTTGACGACATTGAAATTGACCCGAAAAAGAGGCTTCAGATAGATCCTCAACCATGACAAAAGTTCTATGAAATTTAGATTGAGAAGATTGAGATCGTAGCTTTTCGAAAAGTGACATTCGTGCATTCAAATATATCCCATGAGGATCGTGGAGCTTTTGAGATGAACAACGGTGGAAAATCAAGGTTTTATGATCTTCTAAGATCCCATTCACAAATGATACAAAAACTACAAAGAAAATCAATGAATAAAAAGTAAATTTTGTTAGAATTATAGACATGGGATATCATTTGTTTTGTTATAATAGGTTCTTAAGTACAAGATTTGGTATATATATTAGTCTAAGGAGATTTGGCATGGTAGTTTAAGACTTTAATGAAAATTGGTACAAAATTATGCATATTTCTTGCCTACCTACAACTAATCTTGGATTACAATATCTAATTAGGTACACATTTAATGAGCTACATACCTTTATAAGTATTTAAACTATAGAATTGAACTAAGCTAGAATAAGTGAATATATAACTGCCCATATCTAGTACTATCTTTTGAGTGGAGCATTAGTGACGCAAAGTTCATGTTAGTCAAAACTCAAAAGAACTAGAATAATTTCCAAGTTTGGATAAACTTCCATTTACTAAAATTTTAACTTATGCAAAGTAAGCTAGTTTTGCTTTTTTTAAAAGCATGTCATATTGCTTACGTTTGTGTTATTTAAGTACAAGTTACATTTGATTTAAGGTAGAGTTTTGGGTAATATTTAAAATATAACGTCGCTAATCTAATAGAGAAAATTTGTCAAAAATAAATAATAATACTGCAAAAAAAAATAATAAAAAAAAAATAGCAAGAACAATAAATAAAGAGCAAAAAATCTATTGTAAATAGTATATGACGAAAATAATTTCTATAATTATCAATATGATAACATGTGTTAAAACGGAATATCACCTATTAGTCTTTTACAAGTGTCGAATTATAGGCATTGTCATATGCTTCGTAATGTAACAACGTTGAATTCCATATTTTTAACCAAAGTAATTAAGATCCGTAAGATATTAGGTACAAATTGTCCCATTTTAGAATTTGAATCCTATTATGGGATAAAAAAAAAAATTCTTTCACTTTCATCCAGTCAAAAATTCTAATAATGAGAAAAATAAGGATGAAATTCAAAGAACAAAAGTCTTGCATCTTCTTGCCTATGATTTTTTTGTTTTCTTTCTTTTACACCCCACTAAAAAAATTCTTTTCATTTCTTATCTCGTCGTCCTTTGATCTTCAATCAAAAGATTGATAACAGGACGACGAGAGGGAAATAAAGAAAAAGTAAGGAAAAAATATCAATAATCTTTCAAAGAATTCAACTTCGTCACATTCATTTTAATCATTCAAATTGAATGTTAAAATCAAATTATATCTAATAAAGAAGCAATGACAGAATCTATCCAATTACTACAAATCAATATTATTTCAGCTCGAGACCTAGCAACGGTAGCGAGATCAATGAACACTTATGTTGTCGGGTGGGTTAACCCGAACCGAAAACTAATAACCCGAGTTGACCACAAGGGAAATAACTCCCCCGAATGGAATGATAGGTTCATCTTTCGGGTCTCACCAGAGTTCCTTGAATCCAACACTTCAACAGTTGAGTTAGAAATATACTGCCAAACTTGGCTACGTGACACTCTTGTCGGGTTCGTTCGAGTAGCCGTGCCGAACCTACTCCCAACAGATAGCCCAAACGGGCTAACCCGTCGATCAGTCGCTCTCCAAATTCGTCGTCCTTCGGGACGGCCTCAAGGTATCCTTAATGTCGTTGTCTCGGTCCTAGACGGGGCTAGGCGAAGCATGCCATTGTCCGGGATTGGGACCACGGACAACAAGGGGAATTACACAATCTCACACAAACCAAATCCAGAAGATAGTATCATCTTACGTCGTGCAAAGAGTGAGCGCTCCTGGGCGGCAATGGCCGACCAGGAGCCTCGTGCTGCTAAGTCCCCTTTTAAGGGTCATGACCCGGGACCAGGCCCGGGTCATGGACAAGGGCTGCGTTCAAGTATAGGCGGGGGGTCATCCATCTGTAACTCTGATGTAGGACCATCAGCGTCGGTGGTGGCGGCGGCTGTGACAAAAGGGTTGTACATGCCGCCAAAGCAAAGAGGTCGTGGCCGTGGACGTGGTCGTGGTCGTGGTAAGGAGATAATAACTACTAATAATGATGATGATGGGAGCTCTATTTTGCAATGGGCAGATGAACAAAGTGAGGACGGAATAGTGACAAAGATTGAGAGATGGAAAATGGAGATGCAAAAGTCGTTGCACCGTGGCGGCGGAGGAAGAAAAGGCGGTGATGGTGCAAGGAACAAACATAAGCATCGACGATCAAAAACAGAAGGCGGGAGATTATTTAGGTGCTTTGGTAAGGCGTATGGTTTTGAATTTACAATTGTTTGTGGATCTAACAATGGGAATGATAAACAAAATATCAAAAGTGGTAAGAAAAAGGTGCATCATAATAATCACAACACATCGGATGATGAGAGTAACAGTCAATCCTACATTATTGTATGATTTATTTTGAACGGATCGATGGTCGTCAATTGTGATTATTATAAAGGTAGAGTGTATATGATTTTTTTTAAACTCTCCTTTAATTTTCTCCCCCACCCCTAAGAATTCTTCTGTATAATTTTTTTATTTTTTCCTTCACTTTTTGCTGTGTAAATTCATGTTTTTTTGGGTAAATAGTTAAGTACTACGGAGTACCTAATTTTTTTCAGCTTAGTCATTATTTGTTTTGACTTCATTGACATTTTAATCTCTCATCGTCTTTTGTATAAATGTTTGGTTTTTTTCCCGCCCTTCACTTTTCCCATATAATTACTTTGTGTAAATTCCCTTTTAGTTTTTTTTTTTTTTTTCTGTTTAATAATATTAATCACCATTTATTTTCACATTATTGACACATCACGTTTCTACTATGTTTTGAGATTTTTAAGTTATGGAATTTGTAATCATGTTGAATGTCATTTATTTTTCCATTTATTCTTTTCAATCTGTTTTGTGTTTAAGTTGCACATGTAGTAATAGCCAGAGTGGAAAAAGAAATGAAAAGAAATAGATAGTTAATAAACAAGTGGTTTTTACACAACATCATTGGAAAAATACTATAAAAATACATGCAGTTCAAGAAAATATTATTTTATTTTCTTTTATTTATTAGTATTATATTTTTGTTTTGGACGAGGTACACACAGGTCTTGGTTGAACACACCTATCTCGTCAGGTAAACAAGTTCAACTCGTCAACATTAGAAAGGCCATAACCCCTAGCCAACTTGAATCGTTGCTAAAACTAATATGAATGAAAGGTGAGAGATGTTACAATTTACTGTTCATTGATTCCTTTTTTTTAAAAAAATCCCCATGAGAAATTTCGTATTAGTTTTTGTAACAAAATATTTTTGTGTTAAGATCAATTGTGATGCTTACTTGTGAAATAGGTTTTATATATGTGAGTTTAGGGGTTGCATTAAGAAATGATGATGCACGGGCAACTCGTTGTTTTCGCAACAAAGAAGATGAATGTGCATTGGGTAGTTGAGTATGTTGAGGCTAATCTTGCTAGACGCAACGTTATAATGTCTTAGATCGAGATTAAATATTGTGTAGGTGATTGAGGCTAAGGATTATGCTCCTTTTTTCCTATACTTATTAGTGGATATTTGAAAATTTCAATCAGATTGGCTTCTTTTTTGATGATAGTATATCCAACAATGGGGAAATATTGTAGCATATATTGTAGCTAGGAAAGATAACTCGCCTTATTTATTTTGAGTTGATGTGTACAAACTCATCCCCATAGCACTTTTGCAATGGCGGATTCTAAAATAAGTTAATATATTTCCAACAGGTATTTCCTCTCAATCATGAAATTAATTTTCAAATATATATCTACTAGTGGTATTTTATTCACTTGCATATAACTACGTATAATCAAGTCGAAGAATTTGATTGAACTATCTCATTGTAATAAATTAATTTTATAAAGAGAAGTTCTATATTAAGAGAACTTTTCAAAGATAAAAAAAAAAGTGTCACATATACATGACATTATTTTTTATTTTAATAAGGAAAGATATAAGAAGTTAAGTCAGTCTTCTCTCAAAACTATAATCCAACCAATCTGAAGTAATAAAAAAAATAGGAAAATTTGTCAAGAATTACACGCTTAATAGGTATTTGGAAACAATTACCCACTAAAAAATTTTATCAAAAAAACTACCCCCTAAATTTAAAAAGTTTGAGTAGCACTACCCATTTGCATTTTCCGACGAGAATGTTCGGCACATGGGCCCACTTTTTCAATTTTTCTCTGAAAAGACACGATGCAATGACAAATTGGACCTTAATTCATAACCCTAAGATAACCAATTTGAATTAAAAGCAACAAATTTAACCAATTTCAAATTATCCCCAATTTCTAAGACCCCTAATTTTTCTAATTGTTACACCCTAACATCAAAATTCATAATTAATGGATTAAAACAGAAGAATTACCTATGAATTGCACACCCTACTTGTTCTCACTTCTCAATTAGAAATTTTCAGAAGAAAAATAGAAAAAGTGGGCCCCACACGCCGGACTTTCTCGCCGGAAAATGCAAATGGGTAGTGCTACTCAAACTTTTTAAATTTAGCGGGTAGTTTTTTTGATAAAATTTTTTAGTGGGTAGTTGTTTCCAAATACCCCTATTAAGCATGTAGTTCCTGACAATTTTTCCAAAAAAATATTTACTTCCTAAAGAAGGTACAATATCTTGGTGCGTTTGCATGAAGTGTCCTAAAGAAGCAACATATATAATAAGCTAATGTTCTATTGCCCATTTGCCCTCTCTATAGATATGTCTGGATTCGACGGAGAAGAAAAGACATATATATGACATTGTAAAAGACTAATTAGCATGTGAAATTAAAGCGAGGCGAAGCTAGAAATAAAAATTACTGGGCCGAGGTTAGTAGTTATTACTTTATTGGGCTACCCTTGTCAAAAACCCCCTGTCTTTGCCCCTATATGAAAATGGAGCTGAGTTTGATATTTTAATTAATTTGTAAAGGCTTCAAGTTAGGAGCAGAATAAAATTTTAATTTCAATTAGCTGATACAACACAATCAAATTAAATTATATGAATTGACATATTAGTAATCAATAACTCAAAACCATGAAGAAGCAGATAAAAATTTAATTTCAAGCCATTGTTTAACCAATGGAGAACTGGACTTGACTTAATTTTTTAAATAAAAAGCTCTATCTTTCCTCTAAAAAAAATAAAAAATAAAAAACCAAACTTGAACTGTAGAACAACATAGTTACATACTTACATCTATAAATTTTTTTAAAGTTCACTTATCTATCCCCTCAAAACTTGAAGAATAAAATATTCAAGCAAAAAAAATATTATCAACGACCAACTAATTATGCAGTTCATTACTAAAATTATTATTAAAAAAAAAAACGCACATTATTTTGTTGTGATGTGTGGACTGTTAATTTTATAATAAGATTAGATTCTTTATTATAGATTTGATGACTTTCGACCTTTTGGCCATTCGAAAGAATAAACGAGAATACAAGACGTGAAAATAAAAACCAATTTAATACATAAATATAAAAATTAAATAGTTATATTAAATTTTAAGGATTAATGATCATTCAAATCCGATGTCGTCCAGCGGTTAGGATATCTGGCTTTCACCCAGGAGACCCGGGTTCGATTCCCGGCATCGGAACTTTTTTCGCTTTTAACCTTTTTTATATAGTTGAAAATTTGGCTTTGAAGTGGCCAATAAATTCATTGGCTGGCATATTCCTCCTACCCGCATTCCTACCAAGCTACACAACCCAAGACAAGTCTACCAATTTTATTTTTGTTTTTTTTTTTTCAGTTTTAATACGGAGTATTTTATTAACGATCTTGCTAACGATCGTCCCGGGGCGTTAGATAAGGATAAATTATATTGGTTGAAATAGTATCAATTTAGGAATTCATGACAAAATCACGCGTCGTTCGGTGTAATTAATGTTAATTTTACTCTAATATTTACACTTTTATTCTCTTATCTAATGCCCCGGGGTGCTCATTATTGAACCGTAATTTTCAAGTGTTTAAGGGGGTGTTTGGTTCACATAATTAAGTGAAGAAGCACTCCAACCCGAAAAATCACATGAGACAAAGTTAAAAGGGACCTTACATGTGAGGGGGAGTGTTGAAGAATAAACCTCTCAAGTGTCACCACATGTAAGTGTCACACATTGGTTGAAGAAGAGAGAGTTAAACACTTTATAAGGCTAAGGGGCTACTCCTCCTATTGCCATATGATTTTGGGATGGAACTTCCTTGGACTTGTGAAGTGAACTATCTCTCTTGGTTTGCGGGTGCGGCCCAGACCCGTGTTTGACATTAAGGTATAAGGTATGGGTTTAGAATGGTTTAAACCCATACCTTGTGTTTGTTTTATGATTTTATGAGTTTCAAACCCATACCTCAAACCCTCAAGGTATGGGGGTTTAGAAACCTTAGGGGAGGTGGGTTTGGCTCATTCCCATACATTTAGGCATTAAATAAAAGAAAAACATTGCATTTTATAATCATACCAAACATATGGTATTAAGAATCAAGGTTCCAAACCCATACCACTATGGTTTCATTCCTGATTCCAACCCCATACCAGTTTGTGAACCAAACGCCCCCTAATTATGTTTCTAGTCAAAGGAAAAAAAAAAACCTAGTAAAAAAATGTATTTAATAATGTTAAATTAAAAAAAAAAAAATGTTTCAAAAAAAAATTCATATAAAATATTTGTCATGTTTCCTAAATTGAATATTAGCGTGTGACTGGTTTAATAAGTGAAGTTTGAAAAAAAAAAAGTTTAATAAGTGAATTTGAATAATTTTAAAACTCATTTGGAAATGAGTTTGAATATAAATACGTATATGTACATAATACGAAGTAACTCATAAACAATTAGTTTATTAATTATTATTTTTTATTAAAAAAAATTGATTAGTACCAAAGCTTGAAGCTTGTGTACAAGACAATGTCATTTATATTACAATACAAAAATCACAATCATAGTAGAAGCAAAGCCCAAATGTTATGTTGTCCCTCCTCTAAAAAGAAAACCCTCCTGAAACCTAGAACTCACGGAAGTTTTGGCGCCGCGGCCGGTTTTCCGGCGAGTTCCTCTTCCATGTATTAAGCTTTTCTTTGCTCGTGTTCCAGCGTTGAAGGTGAAGTGGAACCAGGCTCCCACCGGGCTTTAAACTCTTCTTAGTGTTAACCTCTTCTCGCCGGAAGTTCTCAAGGTGGTTTTCTCAGTTTTTAGTTTTAAAGTTCTAGTAGCTTTGTGATTTGGTTACTCGAGGATAAGAAGGCCGTTTTCAATTGGGTTTAAAGTTTCGTTGACGAAACAAGATTCGAAGGCTAGCTCTAACGCCGCCGACTTCGTGTGATCGAAAAGATCGAGTTGGTAAAGGTAAAGTTAGAGTTAGGGTTTGTTCGTTTTCTTGCGTTGGGCTTTATTCTCGCTCCTTTAATTTCCTCTGCCCATTTTCTGTTTATGTCACAATTTCGAGTTTGTCTCTTGGTTGTCTTGCCGCCGGTGATGTTAGTCCAATTTGACCTTCACGGTGAAGGCGGTAATCGGAGGCCGGTGATTGTTGGTTGGTTTCTTGCTTATTTGATGGATTTTTCAGTTTAATTTTAGTTTTCCTTGCTTCTATGGGTCTTTGCTATGAGTTTGATGCTATGAGATGCGGTTCTCTCTGTTCTAATTGGGGTTTGTCAAGTTTAATTGTGGGTTTAAAAGGGTGTTCCTACTCCTGTTTAGAATTTTGGTTTTGCGAGTTTTGGTTTTGTGGGGAATTCGCCATTGTTATGGTATGGTATGGTTCATATGATTGGTTAGGGTATGATGTTTGTTTGTTGTTTTCTCTTTCGATTTTCTCAGTCGAAAGAGTTTCAGAAGGTTATCCCTTGATGTCCTTTGTTTCAGCTTAGTAGTGGATTTTCAATCTATTACTTTGAAAAATGCCTATCTTAACACTGCTCCCGAAAATGAAATGTTTGGGGGCCTCCGAAATGTTATTTTGGAGGTTTATAGTATGTCAATGGTCTCTTTTTCCTTGAGATAGGATCAATGGTCCCCACAGTTAAGGGTATCGAATCACTTGCATGGGTGATTCAATGTGTGTTGTTACGCCCTAATCGCTATGTTTTCCTACCCCATTTACTTATTGATATAGGCACTCGGTGTCCTTTTCAACTCGTTAATATGTATGCCAGAATTTGTTTGTTCGTCGTCCTTCAATGCATTCTCCAAGTTCAAGAGAATGTGGAATACATAATAAGAATGGTGTGTTCCTCATCGCATGCTCAAAAGATAATGACAGATTTTTCAAACCAACAAGATCAAATGTGGAAGTACTTTAATTTAATGTATTCTCGTTGTATTAGAGGAGCTAATAGTGCTCTTAGTTTGTAATACCTTTTTGTTTTTTTTTTTTTTTTTTTAATTTAAACCGTTGTAAAAAAAAATAAAAAATTGTCAATTATAAAAGACTCAGAATTTTAACAAAGCGTTGATAAAGATTACTCATACAACCTTTTAAAAGAGCTAAAATTGAACACTATTCGACCTCAATTATAGTTGGGAGTTTATTTAAATAAAGTACTATGGTACTCCGATCGATCTTATCTACCTCTGCTAGACGTATATGGTTTCATCTTGTTTCGACGTTAATGTCTCTTTGACTATCTTGCACGATAAAATTAAATGCGTGGGGTAATTGCTCAATGACATAAGATTGATTTGTTTAGGAAATGGGCCTCCTACTTCCAAGTTGGGTGATTTTGAATATTTGAGTACATGCATGATGCATGTACCATTCAATTTCAACAAATTGAATTGACCAACCATATT